ACATACAAAAAGGACAATGAGAAAGAGTCAAACCAAGTCACACAAAAAGAATCAACTAAACCAAAGGAAAATTGCAAGTGGAAGTTAAGAGGCAGTGTTATGCCAGATTTGTGGGATCCCAATAGATCTCCAGGAGCCTAATCTGATACAATCACACAAGAGTCTTTATTGCAAGCTCGAGCCTGGACTCAAAACCGTTCCCGACACAGCGGTCCCAGGGAGTGAGTCCCGGTCCTTTGTCCAGTAAGATTTTATAGGTTTTTGGGGGATACTCTATGCATCACAACATCACACAGCTAATCATTCCATACCTCGGGAAAGTCAAACAACAACTCTTAACATTGATTAGCACATTCACTGGTGGGAACAAGTTGGGTAGGGGTGATTGAATTGATTGGTTTAAGCCACAAGGGGAGTACGTGCTGAACTACATGGTTTCCCAACACGTTATCAACCACCATAAACTACTGGGGGGTCATCTGGCATTCCAGGTATTTTCCCTGTCTCATGCTGATTGGTGGTTGCTAGGGGGGTTGCTATGGGTCCTCACCTAGCCTAACTGAGTCAGGGACACCTGGCGCTGCAGACCTCTCCTGTTATTTACAAACAACTCAGCAGGGTGGGTATGTGCCTAGGAGTGCTCTGTGGATTTTTCCAAGGACAAGGGTCACGCCCCCTTCCTTAGGACAGGCCTTGAGGTAGAGGCTGGTTTCTCAAAAATGGAGTCACATTAGTTTCTCAGCAGAAAACTAGAGGGGGGGGAGGGACCAAAGCAATTGAAAAAGTAATTCCTTCTCTATTATTAACTAATTTAAACATAAATAAATTGACTTCCCTAACAAAAGATAAGAGAATAGCCGAAAACTCTTCTTTGTTGTTGTAGTAGTGATTGTTGTTGTCATTATTGGTTTCTTTTACAGTACTGGGGATTGAACCTAGGTTGCTTCACCACCGAGTCCCTTTTTATTTCACTTTTTTAGATAGGGTCTCACTAAGTTGCTGAGGCTGGCCTTGAGCTTGTAATGCTCCTGCCTCAGTCCCCTAAGTTGCTGGAAGTACAGGTGTGCACCACTTTGCCTCGCCTGAAAATTTCAAAACATTTAAAACACACCCACTATGTGCTGTTTGCAAGATACACGCTTTAGATTGAAAGTCAGTGAAAGGATGGAAAAAGATATTCTATGCATAATGGTAACCAAAATAAAGTGGGGATGGTATACTTATGTCAGAAAGTTTTAATGTCAAATTAAACCCTCTCAAAAGAGAAACAGAAGAACATTGCATAATGACAAAAGGGTCTGCTCTGAAAACAGAAATCACAATTATGAATTTATATGCATGCAACACAGTGCACTCAAATCTATGAAGTTAACGCTGACAAACGTGAGAGGAAGCATGAACGGCAACACAAGAACAGTCGGGGGTTCTAATAGTGCATTTCAATAACGAAGATGAGTGAGGGAGCAAGAGACTTGACCAGCACTGAGGACCATGTAAATGGGACTGCATCAGACTAAAAACTTCTTAAAAAATATTTTATTGGTGTATTATAATTGTACATAATAGTAGGATTCATAATGACATATTTGTTCTTACTGAAAACAACTTCATCCCTTGTACCTTCCCTTTCTCTGCCCTCCTCCTTACCCTTGGTCCACTTACTCTGCTTGACTGATCTCCATTCTGTTCCTTTACCTTTTCACATTTTTATGGGTGCATTAATCTAGTCTATTTTTATAATTGTTTTAATTAGTGAATTATAATTATATATAAGCAGGATTCATTGTGATATATTCATATATAAACAGCATAATTTGAAGGATTTCATTCCTTAGTACTTCCCTATGCCTTTCCCTCCTCCCTCCCTCTCAATTCCCTTCCTCTACTCTCCTGGTCTCCTTCCTGTTCATGAGATCTCTCCTCTCTCTCTCTCTCACACACACACACATACATATTTCTGAATATAAGAGAAAACATTTGACTTTCTGTATCTGACTTATTTCATTTAGCATGATGTTCTCCAGTTCCACCCATTTACCAGCAAAGGACATCATTTCCTTCAACTTCACAGCTGAATAAAACTCATTGTATGTATATACCACAATCTCTTTATCCATTCATCTGTTGATGGGAACCTAAGCTGGTTCCATAACTTGGCTATTGTGAATCGCACTGCTATAAACATTGGTATACCTGTATCACTAGAATGCTGATTTTAGTTCTTTTGGATAAATACCAAGGAGTGGGATAGCTGGTAATATGATGGTTCCATTCCTAGTCTTTTAAAGTAGTTTCATTCTGCTTTCCAAAGTGTTTGTATAATTTACAATCTAATTAGCAATGTATAAGTGTAAATTTATCCCCACATCCTTGACAGCATTTATTGTTTTTGAATCCTTGATGATTGCCATTCTGAAATGAGATAAAATTTCAGTGTAGTTTTGATGTATGTTTCCCTGATTGCTAAGGATGTTGAAAAATTTTTCATGTATTTATTGACTATTTGCACTTCTTCTTTCAAGAAGTGCCTATTTAGTTCATTTATTGATTGGGTTATTTATTGTGTGTGTGGGGGGGGTAAGTTTTTTGAGTTTGTTCTAAATACTAATTCCCTGTTGGAAGAAGCTGGCAAAGACTTTCTCTCATTCCGTAGTCTCTCTCTTCACATTTTTAATTGTTACCTTTGCTGTGCAGAAGCATTTTAATTTGATACCATCCTACTTACTGATTCTTGATTTTATTCCTTGAATTTTAGAGGTCTTGTTAAGAAAGTTGGTGCCTGTGCCAATATATTGGAACGTTAGCCCTATGTTTTCTTTTAGCAGTTGTAGTATCTCTGATCTAAATCCTAAGTATTTCATTCACTTTGAGTTTATTGTTGTGCAGGATGAGAGACAGGGATCTGGTTTCATTCTTCTGTAATATGGATATCCAGTTTCCCAGCACCCTTTGTTTAAAAGGCTATCTTTTCTCTAACATATATTTTTGCTCCCCTTATCAGGGAGCAGTTGACTGTATCTGTGTGGATTTATCTCTATTCACTATTCTACTATATTGGCCTTTGTTTCTGCTTCTTTCAAACTCAAAATTTTATACGCAGCAAAAGAAGTAATCAATAAAATGAAATAGTTGCCTATGTATTGGGGAAAAAAATATTTGCAAACCATATGATCTGGTCCGGTGTTAAGAAAAAAAATTATGAAGAACTCATACAACTCAAGAGTGAAGAAACACACAGATGAATTTAAAAAGGTGAAAAATGCCTGAACAGAAATTTTCCCAAAAAGGACACAAAAATAACTATTGGGCTTATTAAAAGCGCTCAATATCATATATATATATATATGATATAATCATCAGGGAAATGCAAATAAAAACTACTCTGCATTACTGCCTTACAATTAATTTTTTATAAAAATGTAAAAAACAAAAATGTGGAAAAAAAGGAACTCTTATACACTGTTAGTAGAAATGTAGTACACTGTTGGTAGAAATGTAGATTGATATAGCTGTTATGGAAAAATGGCATGGACATTTTTAAAGAAATTTAAAAATATAATTACCATATGACCCAGAAATCCCTTTTGTGGACATATACCTAAAGGAAAATTAATCACCACTTCAGAAAAACTCTACACTCCCATGTTCATTGCAGTATTATTCCCAGTAGCCCAGATACGGAAGCAACACTAAATGTCCTCTAATGGACAAATGGAAAAAAAGAAACTATAATGTGTGTGTATGTATGTATGCATATACATATGTGTGTGTAAATATAATGTAATATTATTAAGTCCTACAAATAAACAAAATCATGACATTTGTCACAACAAGAATAAATCTAGATGGTATTATATTAAGTGAAAGAATCAAGAGAGAAGAATGTTATGTAAGACATGTATATGTAGAATCTCAAATACATAGAGATCTCAAATACATAGAGATAGAGAACAAAATAGTGGTTACTAGAAGGAGAGAGGGGAAGGGAAAATGTAAGTCAAGGATAAAAGCATAGCACACATGTAGAGTGGCCAGGTTAGAGGTCTCATGTACAACCTGAGGACTTTAAGTAATAAAATTGTACTGTATGAGATTCATGCTAAATAGGATTTTAGCTGCTCTTGTCACAGACACAAACAGGTAACTATGCAAAATGATGGTTCTGTTAATTTGTTTGACTACAGTGACTTTTAGTATCTATGTGTATTCCAAAACATCATGTTGTATACATGAAATATACACAATAAAATACATTGTGAAAAATGAGTCTCCCAGCTACCATATCCACCTATTATTATACATTTGTTTTTATAATATTTAACATGGTTGTCAGACAGAGATCAAAGAGTCAACCATGAAAGAACCACTTCAAAATATCTTCTAAAAAGAAGGGACACATGTTGGCCACTAAATAAAGGAGTCATAGAAGAAGAAGGAGAGAGGGAGAGAGAGAGAGAGAGAGAGAGAGAGAGAGAGAGAGAGAGAGAGAG